ACATTTTACTCATATTCTCGGCTCTCTCGTTCTCTCTCTCTCTCGATCGATTGAATTAATGGCTTTTTTTTAAAAATCGTGTGCATGTATGTGTAAAATCCATCAATGATTGTTTTTGGTGTGTTACAGTATTGCACATTGGACCAAACGACCGTAACACACAGTTCACACACAGATTCATTGTTGCAATATATATTTAATTCATGCTGATTTCAAAAGTCCGTCTTTCTGTTGCCATCGTAAAAGCAATTTAAAATGGAATGTTAATAGAGGGATCGAGTGAGTAGAAAAAAACACAAAGTCAATTTTTGTAGCCGATTAAATGTAGAAACAGAGAGAAAAACAACAAAAACATTGTCATTTACTTTGTGGGTCACGGTAAATGTTCTACAATTGTCGTTTGAATGAATCAAAGATTAGAATTATCTATACATTTCTTTGTATTTTCGATTTTTTTTTTTTTCTTTCAAAGTCGAAAGCTTAGTTTCATTGCATTCTTATACCCTTTCTCTTATTTTAATCTCTCGTCGATACAGTGGCGATAAGATTAGAAAAAACACAAGCAATTTTTCGAACATGACAGAATATGGTGAGCAGGAAAATGGAGACAATATAAATTGGTTTGGCTGTGCATCACTTTATTTCTTATTTTATCTTCATTTTTGTTATTGTTGTTGTTGTTGTTATAGTCACATGTGTGCAGCATGATTGCTTAGAGATTGAGATAAATTGGGGCTAAGTATTTGAAAAAAAGCGCAATCATTATTATTATATAACTTTCGCACACTCAAGCATCGTTAGATGCATACATTCCCCATTTTAAAATGTAATGCGGCAATATATTCTGATAAGAAAAGGTATGTGTTACATTTCCATTTGCATGAAGGACGTATATAAAAAAAAACGATTTACGCCATTCCCGACCTGAAAAATATGTACGAAAAATTATATAGAAAAAGCGAAATGATTTCAACCAATTGAAACTGTTTATCCTGAACTTAACTCTCTCGGTAATTTGGCTCGCACTTGAGTGGGGACAAAAAACTAATGTGAAAATAAGGGAAGAGAAACGAAATAATGAGTCAACGGTGTGCGATAGCCTTGAAAAGGTTTCCACACTAAAATGTAATGCGATGCACACTGTGCGATCGACTAAACGTAAAGAGGAACCAAGCAAATTAAATGCTCTTCAGTTCATTTTTCTGACAAAAAATAATGGGCACCTTTTTTTTCGTTTCTTATGACTATTAATTTGTTTGAGTGTTAAAATAATACGTTTTTTTTATCAGAAGAACACCTATTCCAAGTAAAATGAATCCACTGTATGTCCTACATTATAAGTTGTCATGTGATGTGATACATTGAACTTGGATCATATTTACTGTTGTATTCGCACGCACATGCTGCATATACAACTCGTGATTGTTTTTAATATTGACACAAACGTCCACAAACACACGCCAAACCGAAAACAGTAACACCATTTTGGATTATTTTATGACGTATCGATGTGTATCCATATATAACGTGTGATTTTATCGAATATTTGTTAATATTAACTTGATTTCTTTTTTAGTCCCATCCAAATCCATATATGTATATATTTATATTTGTCAAAACAAAGATGACTTGATTTCACGTGCCCGATTACATTGATTATGTTGTTTGCTATTTTTCATGATGTTTTTATTTGCAAAGTAACAATCCGTTTGAACAAGTTAAGAAGTGAGAGAAATATCATTCGTGACCCTTTCGCATGACTGGGTGCGTGTGAAAGCATCATAACTACCATTGAGACATCGAAACATCATCCTCATCGAAGGATTGGCCTCAATAACATTTCAGACAGCGACTCGATTTAATTGACCGTTTTCAAATCGAATCTATATTTTATTTTGGTAATGGGTCACCGCTATGAACGATTTTCAAAGATTTCAAATTCATTGTCGTCAAGTGGGCATGGTCGGCCTTTTTCTATTAACTTATACACACGCGCGCACGCTTCTATACATAAAAAAAACTCACGTCAATTAATTTAGTTATAATTAAATTATCGATTTTAGTCCAATATCATTCTGAACACAATTGGTTCTCGAGCCAACAAACGGACGAGAGAAAAACAATTCTCATCAAAGCTTTAAGAACTGAATTGAATGTAGTATTCAACTGGAATGGCGAAAAATAGAAATCATGGTCATAAAAAAAATGTTGAAGCTCATCGATACAAAGCGCACACCGTACCGCATAAAATCCAATTGATTTGTAGTTCTTTCGTTTGTTTAACTAATGTGTCTTCTTTTAATTCCAAGCGGTCTTGAAAAAAACACGTGTCGCGCGCGTAACTCACTCTGTATATATGTGTATAATGTGCATGATTATGGATAGCATAGTTAAAACCGCACTCAATTTAATTGAGCATATGTGTGCGCTTCATTATTAGCATTTATACGATGTGAAATAGCACGTTATCGCATTTCATCCAAAGAGACCGAAGAGTGCCATCATTTTTTTCCATAATTTCATTTTTTTTCTGATTCATCTTTTTCATCTTTGTATATGACTCTATTTACGTTTTTTCTCCATTGCTCTGTGGTGTTTTTTTTGTATGGCTTCGCCAAGGAAAAAGTTTCGCATTCGTTTCAATACAACACAGTCCCTTTTATTTTTTTTTCTTCGATTTTCTTTTCGTTTGGTTTTTTTCCTTTGTTTTCTTTCTGTTCATACGTTGCAGTAATTTCCATAGAATGAAACGTGATCTTTAATGCCAAAGTAAATTATGAACTGTAAATGCTAAATAACAATACAACAACAACAAAAAAATGAATGATTGGTTTTTGATTCTTCTCTGTATGTATGTGAATGCTTTTTCCTTCGCTGTGTGAGTTCAATACAAACGATCGATATTCACCTGCGGCAAAGTTATTGTTTTTTTTCTCTCTCTCCACACGCTTAACAAACACGCGTGTCTTTGCGTCATGAATCATAATTCCGACACGAATGAAAACAATAACACATCGACCGACAACGATGGCAATGGGAAATAATTTGAATGTGTGTAAACGCGTGGAATAAACCAATAACAACAACAACAAGAATCGAAAGTATCCTACATATTTTGTTTGCTACATATAAGACATCACGTGGCTCAAAATTACTCACTCGTTAGTTAATGACTTTGGAATCTCTTTAGTTGACTTTTCTTTCTTATTTTTCCTTAACTCATTTTTTTTGCGTTGATTTATTCACGCCAAACCGCAAAGAATTGATACGAAAGTAATTTTTTGGCTCCAAAAAAAAAAAAAAAATTGAAATGGCAATTTATTTTTAGCAACATTGCTTTGTGCCAACTCATGTCTGATCGTATTGTTAGCAAACTTTAGTCATCAGCCTTATGATAAATTCCAGCTCAATTTTTTCCATTATGATTGCAATTAGTATTATTGTTGGTGTAATTCGTACATAATCAACTCTTTATTTTCAAAGCGATAAAGATATCGTATATAAACATTCTGTGTCATTCGGCTTGTTTATTTGGTTTGGCAATTATTGGTTTAAATGAACAAATTCCAAAACTATTTCACCATTGAATGCATAGAAAAAGTTTTTGAACTTCATATTATGCTTGATGAGAGAAAGAGACACGCAGGATTATAAGAGCAGCTGCATTCGAGTGTGGGGTCCGAAAAAAGTTCGGAAAAAGATAGATTTATACAATCTGTTTATTTTCTCAAGTTCACTGCACTTCAGATTATCATTCAGTGTGTTTTGCCAAAATCGAGGAAATTTTCAGATAGAGATCAAAGAGGTGGTGAATGAGCAAAAGAGAGAGAGAGAGAATATGAAAGAAAAAGAACATGCACCGACAAATTGTAAGCATAAGCGTGTCAAGTAGCAAATAATATGGTTTGGTATTTCATGATACAAAACAATTCGGGAAACAGAGTCAGATAGAAATAGATGGAAGAAGATACGGAGAGAATGAAAATCCAGTGCAAGAGGCAAACAGGAAGAAAATGAACAGGAACGTAAAAAATATGTTGGAACAACAACAAGCAAAAGTGCAAAATAGAATTGAAAGGGTGAGCAAAACTTTTGTTCATCTTCGAATCGTGCGAAATGTGTATTTGTTCTGTTCGGCTTGTTCCAATTTTGTGTGATCACTTCACAGTTAATCTGGTAGATCTCATTGAATTATCTCTTTACCCTTCTCTCTCTCTCTTTCTCTTTTACACACTTTGTAAACATATGGGACATAAACAGTTATTATTAAGAACTGATGGTGATAAGGTTTGTTCATTTGAAAACCGACAAATTTTGAAGGATTGCTGGTGTTTTTATGTATATCTCTAGTTTTTTTTTATCGTACTCTCTCAAGCATCTGATATTCAATTCTATTTGCTCACAATCCAATATTGCAAACGTACAAATAAATGGCATATCTTTCTTCTTCACTTTCTTTTCGGTCTTGAAGGAATTAAATGAACTGGCGCCAACAAAGTTCTTTCGCTTGAAAAAACTCAAAAATATATGTATACTTTTTATGGTATGGAAATGTACGGATATTGTACTTGCATTCACCACACATTTTGGCACAGGATTTTTGTGGAATTCAGCAAAAAGTGAATCTTGCACATTCTCTACGATGTACTCTCTTTTTTTTTCTTACGCTCTCAAACTTTTTTCTCATTCCGTGTTTTCGCGCCGTCGACTTTAATGCACTTGGGCCATAAAATTGCATAAGCACCCTCTTGTCGATTACGATGATAACATTATTCCAAATAAGCCAATCTGTGCCAATTTCGTGCTCAATAAAAAAAGGATGCGAAAAAATAAAGAAAACAAAAAACGAGCAACAACAATAAAAATGAATGAAACAATCTGAACAAATAATAAACTAAATTTATACTTTGTCAAATAAAAGTCGCTCAACATTGTCATTGTTTTTTGTGCTCTCTAATTTAATGTTTCATATTTTCTTTTAACCTCTCTTCACATTGTAGGCCAAACAGACGACGACCAATACAACAAACACAAATGGACGTGTTCCACCGTTGAATCGACATGCATGGCCACCGGATCGTGTGCCGGGCGTAAGTACCAAGGCATACTTACTTAAAAATTACTATTCCATTACTCAACAATTCCTGATCCATTCATTCGATTCATATTCCATTCTCTTCCATTACATTCCATTACATGTTGATTAATTTCCATTAATTCCATTTTTTTCTTCTCATTATCTCTAGGTTATTGGTTTACAGAATCACGGAAATACATGCTTTATGAATGCGGTGAGATAATTAATGAAACAAACACAGAATTGACTTTGCAATTTATTTTGAATCATTTCTTAACACTATAATAGGTGCTACAATGTTTGTCACACACCGATATATTGGCCGAATATTTTGTCCTCGATCAGTACAAGGTATGATGGGTGGTAACAATGTCAAAACCATTCCTATGACATTTGAATTTAAAATGCATAAAAAAAACACGTTCAATGAATAAAATACCATAAATTTGTCATTCATATTTCTTAGGCTGATTTGAAGCGTCGCAACAAGATCAATTCTCGAAAGTTCGGTACAAAGGGCGAACTAACCGAACAATTGGCTTTGGTGCTGAAGGCCTTGTGGGCATGCAAAAATGAGGCAGACTATAGCACCAGTTTTAAGGCAGTTGTCGATCGTTATGGCACACAATTTCGTAGTTCAACGCAACACGATGCTCAAGAGTTTCTATTTTGGCTATTGGACAAAGTGCACGAGGATCTAAATACGGCTTCCAAGCGAAAATACAAACCTATCAAGGTAAGTAAACGAGTTAAAGAGAAACACAACCACAAATAGTACCATTTCAAAAAAAAAAAAAAAAAAAACTGGCACACACAATGCCTTACATATTCTAATTATAACATGAATTATAATTGACGGTACAAATTTGAACCGAAAACGAGATGTTTATTACACCAATTAAATAGTATAGTTTAAGGTCACATAATCCGAGAAAATGTGATTAATTTCTCTTGTTCATTCGCATTATCTCGAGTTTGCCGGCAATTTGATTTCAAAAAAAAGTTCAGCAAAAAACACATTGACACACGCAGTGTGAGGGAGATATATTTTTACAATGATGGCAATATACAATCATACACATTGAATTGCTAAACTTGGATGTGGATTGTGTGCGTGTGCACATTAAGAAAGTCCATATAATATATGTACCCCTTCCGGCATGCATTGAACTAATAAAGACCAATGATTAATTTTGTTATAGTTTAATTAGTAAATGCATGGAGCATATATTTTTTTTCGTCGATATGCTGGTTTTGAAGCATATCGCTTTAATTTGCTGTCTCTTTTTTTCGCTGTTTTTTTATTCTCTCTTTTCCATTTTTCGTGCTCAATCTTTCTTTCTATCCCTCTCAAACATTTGCATTTGTTTTCTGCAGACAATATATTTAGCTGCCGTCATCTGGATATCGTCAGCAGATGATACGAAGTGAAAACAATAGAAGTGATTGTTATAGGTGTATAAGCTTGTTATATACTGGTATTACTATAACAATCACTTCTATTGTTTTCACTTCGCATCATCTGCTGACGGCATCCAGATGAGCTGAAATATCCAGATGACGGCAGCTAAATATATTGTCTGGTTTTCTGTGTCAAAATGTCAATCATCTGTCCAATTGAATCAAATGTTTGTATAGTTAATTCAGTTTGAGCCGTTTGACTGATGACTAACTGCCATTGGAATTTGTTAAACATTTCATATATTTCACTTAACAAAAATACAATATGTGCGCAGACGCCAATTAAATAATTACCATTTAAACAATGTTTTGATCATAATATAAGCACTAGATATGAGATGATGATGAAAAAAAAAAATACATATATACAATTGTATTCTCTTAAGAGCCGACTACTTCTCAATAAATCAACAAAACTTGCTCATAAAAAAAATGCATAATTGAAATTGGCAAAAAACGAAACAGGGTTCGGTCAGTCGTCGGTCGTTGTCGACGATGAGGTTATTGGTACACTTAAGAATCGTGCTCATTCAATTCATAACAGTATTTTGAATGAAAATGAAAAGACGACGAAGTTTTTGTGTAAACACATTTTTGAATTAATTCAATTGAATTGCAAAACTAACTTGCATATTGACATGGTAGCAAGAGCAGCAAATAAGCGGACAAGCACACGCACACACGGAATTTAATAAGTAGTGTATTTAGTACAAATAATGTGGTGTACAATACAGGAGGTAAATATCGGACAACAACCGATTGATTCAAGTGAAGTCAATGACACTAAAGAGAACAAGATATTCAACGAGCATTGTATACTGAATTGGAACAATGGAATTAATTTAACACTTTTCACTAGTCCTGTTCATAAATTCTAGTTCCTTTGCTCGTTTATTTTTCATTTCATTTGCCAAACACTCTATTTGCTTCTGTTGAATAATAGATTGCATCCAGCATTTCATTTTATATACGTGTCTCATTTGTAAACAGAATAGCTATGGTCGTCCGGATGAAGTAATCGCTGCCGAAACATTGGCTAATCATATACGTTGCAATAATTCGTTTGTGCAAGCTGTTTTTCAGGCCCAGTTCCGTTCATCGTTGGCGTGTCCTCGATGTCACAAGCAAAGTAATACATTCGATCCATTCCATTGCATTTCCGTGCAACTCCCACAGTTGGCACAACAATTTGTATTTGTAACGGTATTATACGCAAAACAACATCCGCGACAAGTAAAACTTGGCCTAAGCGTACCGATGGGATCACCGATCGTTGCGTTACGCGAACAATTACAAGCCGATACCGGCATTCCATTGGATCGAATGGTGTTGATGGAAATTCAAGAAACTGGTTTTGTGCGAGTTTTTTGCGATTCACAACCCATTTCAATGCTTACACCAGATGATTCAATTTATTGTATTGAGACGGTCGATGACGACGGTGGCACCACCAAAGCCAACAAATCATCAACAATAGCTACGACTACTATCAGCAGCAGCACGAACACCGCCACCACTATCACCACCACCGCCTTTACAACCAATAGTGCCAGTGCAACAAACGACGATACAACGACCAAATTAACACTCATATTGACAAATGTCAAACGTTTGTCACCCAAAGACAATGATGTGCAACGCTTCAGCACACCGTTTTGTGTTCAAGTTAATCGTGATATTTCATATACCGAATTACAAAAAACTTTGTTGAAAGAGATACGTGCAATTTTAAAAACGGACGTTTTCACTTATGCCACACCAATTATTGACATGTTTAAAATTCGACTGCAAGATCCATCAGCCGATCCAGACACCTACATTGAACCAAATGTAAGCATTTCATTTTTGGAATATCATTGAATTTTCCATTGGAAACTAATGAATATTATATCGTTCGTTAGGTTGAACATCCTCTCTTCACCGAAATGATTGATTTAGCATTATCAGTATTACCAGTTGATGCTGGTCCTCAACATGTAAAATTACTGCTAGAATGGAACGAACCAGACGAATTCTTCTGTGATACGAGCGATGCATTTGTCGAACACGAAAGTGTGTCTCAACTTCAGGTATGAAATATCCGTTGTAAAAAGAAAAGAGTTTCCGTCGCCGCACATGTTAAATTTATTGGACCTTTATTGGCATAAATGAGCCGTTGTTTAAAAAAAAAACGTATCCACCGGAAATGTGACCGATATTAAATGTGCGCTTCAGATAAGAATGCAGGAGAAATTTTTGGCCTCTTTTAGATTTATAAGATTTTTCTCAATCGAATTTTGTTTTAAAGGAGGAAAAAATTGTGTCTAATAACATTTACCATTTGTATTCATTTCAAATAGAATAAAATCAAAGGAGACACAACACTTACGCTGGAACAATGTTTGGAGCATTATACAAAAGGTAATAATTTATATTATTACAATGTGACAGCTTCCGTGCACGACCGCATCAACCGCTCTCGTTGTATTTGTGTTGAAGGCGATGCTGTTGTTGTTGTTATTCATTGATTAATTTTCATAATTTTCATAATTTTCTTTTTCTCTCTTTTATACAAAAGCGGAAACATTGAGCACCGAAGATGCATGGCGTTGTCCACATTGCCAAAAATACTTGCCAGTTGTAAAAACGCTTGGTCTATGGTCACTACCCGATATACTTGTGATTCATTTCAAGCGATTTCGACAGCAACACACCAAAGGTCCACAATCCGCCAAATTAACAACCACTGTACAATTTCCATTGACCAACTTTGATATGTCGCCACATTTGGCACGTGATACCACCAATACAAATAATACAAAAGATTTTACGACTGAAGACAATTGGAGCCCGTGGCGTAAGCTTAAACGAAAAGATTTAAACAATGATTTGAAAGACAATCGATACGATTTGTATGCAGTTTGCTATCATCAGGTGAGCAAATATTTAAAATTCGTCAAAAAGAAAACGTAATTAATCAATTAATTGTTTTTATTTATTTTTTTCAGGGTGATACACTTGAAACCGGTCATTATACAGCCGCATGTAAAAATCCATACGATCATCAATGGTATAAATTTGATGATCAGCGTGTGAGTGTGGTGTCAGGTGATCGTGTACAAGAAGAGATTGTAAATAATGAGGCTTACATTTTATTCTATCAACGTCAAAAAATTGATTCGGCCGAATGTTCTGGCTCAAGCTCTAGTTCGAGTGAGCATTGGCTATCAAAAATGCCGATACCAATCAATCCAAGCTCATTAAGTACGACGATCATCAGTGCAGACACAACAAAAGATGAAATGGACAAATTGTCAGAAACATCGGAAAAACAGGTGATCGAATCAATTGCAACACATTTAAATAAAGAAATTCAAAGGGATGAGAATGTGGAGGAGAAGAAAAAAATTATCGAAATTGTAAAAGAGACGGTGATACCAGAAGAATCAAATGGCATTGAATGTTCGCCATCAATTGTATCGGCAATTGATGTACCAGTTAAAGTGGAACCAACGAACGAGGATGAAATTGTCGATGTTGAAACAATTGAAACGGAAAAGCTAACCGAAGTGGAACCTTCAATTGCAAGCACAAGCGATTCAGAAAATGTTATTGTAGCCACTGATATCACCGATAAAATCGAAACTATAGACGAAGAAGAGATTAAATCGGCTCCAATTAAAATTGAGGATAAAAAATCAAATGGCATTGCTTCAATTGAAAATGATATTGACATTGAAGTTGAGCTACGCAGTTCGACAGTGAAAAAATGTGAAGGTGCGCTAAGCATGTCATTTCCGACACAACGATCATTATGGCCATTTGAAAATCATCATAATACCATTCATACATATACGCCGATTTTGAGCCGAGGCAGTCTCAATTTTAATGAACTATTATCCAGCGAACGAAATGCTCATTTGCGACATTCACTATCTACATCGCTGGGACATCATCGGAATTCAACGTCATCAGATAAAGCAAAGCTAATTAGTGTGACCGCAAATGATACAACACTTGCAATGGTCAGAGGGGTGAGTTCATGCAGCAAAGACACTCTCATTTATATCGATCAACAAACTAATCATCGATCGATTATGGACGATGAAACGAATTTTATGGCAAATCAACCACTTTGGGTAACATTTTTTTTAAAAACAGCATCAAAACATTGCATGCATTTAATATATGCTATTAACATTTTAATTTTGATTTTTATTACAGATTTCGCCAGTGACACCACATAAGTTGATAACTGTTTCACCAAAGAACTAGCTGATCCACTGTGAAAATACATTCTAGCAGCTATACACATCGATTTGGATTTGCCACCAAATTAATTATACAAAAAAAAAAAACAAGACGATAAACTGTACATTTTCTTCATTCGCTTCTAACAAAATGTTCATTTTTATTAAATACGTAACAACACTGTAGTTTCTTATTATATTTGACGTGGTTAACGGTGAGCAACTGATGATTTTTCGTTTGAGCAATGGCAAAGAGCATTGTGAGTATGCGGTATGACAACGTTTCAATGGATATTCGCGTCCTTCTAGGATTGGCTTGGATCTGTCTGGTTTTGATCTAAAAAAAATCAAAATCGATATTATTTAAAAGCCACGAATAAAAATACGAGGGTTGCTCCATAATTTTTTTTAAAAACATATATAACACAG